TTTTTCTGTGATAGAAGGAATTCCAGTTACATATTCCTGCTGACGTGCTTGTTAAAAAGACAACTTTAATTGTCCAGTAGAACTTGTCCAATCTTAATAGGAATCTTTTTGTTTTTAGCAATAGCCAGCATAGTGAGAGTATAAGGAAACATATAAATTGCTGATGGCTTTATAGATTTGCACAGTTGGGGGGAAAGCAGTTTAGCAATCATGAAAACTCCCTTTAAAATGCTAATGTCCCCTTCAACTTTTGAGGGAATTCATCCTAAAAAGAAAAAAATATAAACCTGGCAAAAACCTATAGACACAGATACTTGAGGCAAGATTCTTTTAAAGTAGTGAACTTTGGAAGAATCCAATATCCAGCTATGGGATGAATTTACTAGCTGAATGCATTTATTGGTTAAATATTATGATGAAATTATCTCAGAAAATATTTATGTGAAATGTTCATAGTTGTATATATTTTTAAGAGAAAAATTACGGCACGGAATTGTACAGCCAGTGTATTATATTTTTCTGGGAAAAATCCGATATGTAAAGAAAAGAAATACAAACATTAACAGTTGCATTTGGGTTTTGGTATTGTAGTATTTTTTTCACATTTTTCTCAAACTTTTGTAAGTACTGGGTCTAACTCTTTAACATCAAAAATCCCCTATCACATTTTTTTCTCTATTTCTTTTTATCTTTTCTGAAAATTTTCAGGATTTGTTTGTGGAACTTTGTTGTTGTTGTTCAAACATGTTTTTATTTTTCTTGGACAATATACCTGTGAGAGGAATTGATGGATCATATTGTAATTCTAAGTTTAATTTACTTTTTAATTACAGTTGACATGCAATATTATATTAGTTTCTGGTGTACAGCATAGTGATTAGACATTTATATGACTTAAAAAGTGATCCCCTAATAATAAATCTAGTACCCACCTGGCACCATACATAGTTATTATAATATTATTGACTATATTTCCTGTGCTGTACTTTCCATCCTCTTGACTAATGATTGTGGAACTTTTCAGAGTAAACAAAATCTGGGTCTGTAGGACAGAGTTGGCAATGGATTTGGGGCCAAGGGTGTGTGTGAGGATGGGAGCAGGGATATAGTTTTTTAGGGTTTCCTGACCTGAAGCTTAAATAGGGCCTTGTATAAATCAGATTTTTCTTTCAGACTATGGCACTGTGTTGTATAATAGTTAAGCTTTGCCCTTTTTTTTTTTTTCTTGGTTATGGTATAGAGACCCTGTACCTGAACCATGAGGATCAGGCCCATTTTCTTGTTCCTGTCTTTTGTTTGTAGAGTTGGCTAGCTCGGGAGGACTGACTCTCCTTTGAGAACACAGTCCCTGTCATCCCAAGGGAGAACACTCCCTGAAACAAGCAATATTCAGAAAATGGTGGTTTTGTGATTTCGTTTCTCATATGGGAATAGTGCATGGTCTCATGAGTAACCACACACCTCCTTTCTTCCACTGCTTGTCTTTGTCATCAAATTACTATACCCCAGAAGTTGTGGTTTTCAGCCTCATTCCTCTCTGGAGGAATTTCTACCTCCCAAACCTTAATCACCCTAGTGAATGTATAGAGTACTTGATTGCAGAGGTATTTCACATATTTATTAGGTTGATCTCTTTTGCCTTCTACTTTGTAAGACAAAGCTATCCCTGAAAAAATATTTTCTACATATATATTTACAGATAAATAGAAATATTTTTTATCATAACCCTGGTTCAACTTTTATTTTTGTTTTTCCAGGAAGATTTAAGTCATATGCTTTTTCTGGATTCATAGTAATGTGCCAAGATACATTATAATAGAATTGCATTCTGAGTTAACATTTATTGAGCATTGGATAAATTAGGTAACGCTGTCTTCTTCCAGAAGTGAAAGATGACCATAAATCCTTCTCTCAGGCAGCCCAGCACACACATACACAAAACCATAGACACACACGGTGTGGTGAGTTGCCATACAGATGAAAGAATTAGCATAGACGAAGGATCAACCCAGGGGCAGTGAAAGGAAGGACGTCATCTCCATTTAGTTAGGAGAAAAGATCATAGGAACATGTAAGGCCCAAAGGCATGAGAAACACAGCAAGGTGTTACAAGAAATGTTAATCACTTGATTAAATGTGCAGTGGGAAGAAGTGTGGGGGTGTGGAACTGGGTAGATGAACCTGGGCAGATAAGTAGGGTCAGATTACAAAAATAACAGTGTGGCATACTTAGGAGTTTGGCCTTTGTTATGAAGGCCAATGGATGAAAGTGCCCAAGTAAGGAGTGTTAGGATCAGTGTTTGTTTTACAAGCAGTATTTTGTCTGTGATGTGGCAGATGTATGAATTGGGGAAGAGAGGAAAGGAATTTATGGCAGTAAATAGTCCAGGCAAAGGATCACGGAGACTAAACTACAGGTTTTGGCAGAGAAGGAAAGGTGATGACAGAGACCAGGGAGGTAGGATTGACATGATTTGGTAAGTGGTGAAACGCCAGCAGCAGGGGTGGGAGTGAGGGTGACTTTCAGGTGTAAGGAAGTAAGGTCAGAAATTTCTAAGGAGAAAGTTTTAAGAAGGGGAAGAAGGAAAGTAATTTTGAACGTAATGATTTTTAGCTGCCATGTAATGCTATGACTAGAAATAAAGAAAAAATGATAGTTGAATGCAGCATTTATTTACTCAGTGTTTATGTGTAAACCTTCTTTAGAGTAAACATTAATGAGAAGTGCCAAAACAATGCTAATGACCATTTCAGCGTTGTTTTCTTGCAGATTATTTGAGAACATTCTAAGCGTGTGTGTGATAACTTGAGATAGATGTAAGCACTGGTGATAGCTTCTCTCCTTGTCTGATAGAACAAATTGAGGATATATGCAACATGCCAGCCAAAAATTGACATCTCTTGAATATTCACCTGCAACTCTTAGGATATTCTTGGACATAAGCTTGGACTGTGTGATCTAATATAAACAGGGTTTAAATACAATGATTTAGATTTTTTAAATTTGTATTCATGAATTAGAGTGTGCAGAAATCATGGGGTTTGCTACAATTTGTAAGACTTATGAAATCAAAACACTTTTAAAACCTTGCTAATACGTGCCTTAATATTTCATGCACTACTGACACCACTTTGTAACATTTTAAGCAGAAACAATAATGATGGAATTTTTGTGTACTGTTACTGAACAGGAGCTGCTTTGCCTTAGCTTTATTTTTGACCATAGTCTAACTGTTCAGTAGGAACAATAGAGTGTAGCAGTTACGGCTACGGTCTCTGAATGAATCCTTATTCTCTTAACGGCTGTTTTCCCTTTTGCTAATTTAGATGATAAAATAATAAAGTTATATATGCATGGTGAAGGCCCTTTATAATTACCATTTATCTTGAAATCTTACTTAAATCTTAGAATCTTAAATCTCTAAGCCACTTGGCTGTTTAGCTTTTTTCCTATTCATGATACACTCCATATTTATTTAGGGAGGGGTATGTAATTGAAAACACAATCTCCTACCTTACTGCCTGTTGATTTCACAGCCATATCTCTCCCCCCGCCTCTCTCCCCATCCTTCCTAGTCTTCATTCTCAGCTTTCTACCCTGGTGATCTGGAATCTGCTCATTCAGTAGTTGTGGGTTTCCTGATAAGGGACAGTGTGCAAAATGCTGGGTTTTCCCCATTGGTATGTTTCTAGCATCTCTGTGAGCTTAGATTAAGCTGGAAACTATAAATGTGTTTAATAATGATCTCGCCTGTTGGCAAAGTCATGAGGTGAAAATGAAAGTCTTAAAGGTAACATCTTTTCACTTCTTACTATGGGTAGTTACAGGAAGGAACGGTTCGGTGTTCCAAGGAGGGGACGGAGTGAGCCATGAGGAAAATCAGCTTAGGTGTATCTTGTCTATTAAACAGTTGAATTATTTCCTGGCCACATGCTGTTTGTGAGCTCACAGTTCTTGACTATAGACTGTTCATAAGTGCCACATGGAGCCTAAGAGTGGAAGCAGAAATGAAAAGAAAAAAAAAGACATGCACTGGGCTGGACACGAGTTACATAGATGAAATCAGTTTAACCAAGACCCAGATAAGCCCATATTCATTTACTTTACTTGGTATGAAGGGTTCTTAACATTTTGTATTACATGTATAATTTAATTGTTTAAAATACATTAGTGACAGTTACTACTTAATGATAAGCTATGATGGGTATTATTTTAGTCGCCATTGGGTCTGTCAGTTTACTAGAATTTTACTTTTCACTTTGAACTTGGCTTGCATAAAAAGCAAGGCTAACATAAGGGATTTTTGTTATGTGTTTTGGGTTTTAAGTATTTCAAATAAAAATGAATTGCTAATGGAGACAGACTCGATTTTCACTTGCTAACTCATTTTTCTAAAGGTTTCATTTAGGTGGGTTATTACTAAGTGGCAAAGAATTAGTAATTTTTTTTAGCACTTAATTCATACACTGGCTTTCAAGCATAGTTATTTTTCATTATTAAATTTCAATTTTCATTTCTTGTATAGTTTTAGTTTGCCTATTTTCTAAGTAGTTTTTAAAAACCTGCAAAAGATTAAATTTATAAGGTGTTTGACAGTTTGTATGTAGAGATTTAAATACACTACCAAAATACTAAATGTCACTTAATTTATCTTGCTCTAAATTATCTTGAGTGAAGCAGTTGAGTCACTTGGTTTCCAAATGCTTTTTTCCAACTTTAAAGTTTGACACTATTTGTTGAAGGAAGTTATGTGCCACTGCTAAATTTTGTATGTACTGGAAATTTTAAATAGTACATTACACAAAGTGAAAAGGAAAATATATAAAGATTAACATGTTTGGATTTTGATATATTTTTTGTTTAAAAACATATATTTGACCTTAGCTAGCAGTCTGGGATTTCAAGTGGGTGGATTGTGATTTTGAAGATTATAGAGGTTTGTCTTACAGCATGTTGCCTCTAGGAGAATAACTTCTTATACCTTTTCTTTTGCTTTTAGGATTTTCTCATTCAGCGTTTACCTTTGGTATAGAAAGCCATATCAGTCAGTCAAACATAAATGGTGCCCTTGTCCCACCTGCTGCATTGATTTCTATCATCCAGAAAGGTCTACAGTATGTAGAGGCAGAAGTTAGTATTAATGAGGTAAGGAAGACTTATTTCAAATATTTTTACTCTTCAATATGTTTTTAAATGTGATACCTTTTTTGCTCATTCATCATCTGATTTCTGGGCTAACAAATTTGAAGGGCTTTGTTCCTACTGTAGTGGTCAGGCCGCATAGGCAAGGCGTGTTGGCTCCCTACGGGAGATGGTTTTATTTTTATTTATTTAATTTTAATCCTCACCCGAGGATGTTTTCCCCTTGCTTTTCAGAGAGAGTGGAATGGATAGGGAAAGACAGAAAGACAGAGACATTGATTGGTTGCCTCCTGCATGCACCCTGACCTGGGCTGGGATCAAGCCTACAGCCAAGGTACGTGCCCTTGGTTGGAATGAACCCAGGACCCTTCGGTCCACGGGCCGACGCTCTAACCACTGAGCAAAACCGGCTAGGGATACAGTAAATGGTTTAGAAGTAAACAGCAAGAAATAATTTTATTTAAAATGACAGCATTGTACTGTGGAATGCTAAGACCATAATTGATGGTCTGAAAAATCAGAAAATGTCATATTATTTGTTTATAACTGATTTTGGAAGACACTTCATAATTAAAGCTAATTCTTGATACTCTTGCCTACTTAAGGTCCATGTATCGGTAGTTTAACCCACGTGTCAGCCAACTTTGTCCCATGAACCAAATCCTGCCTTCTGCTTGTTTTTGTAAAGTTTGATTAGAACACATTCATGTTCACTCATTGACATATTGTCTGACTAATTTTGTGCTACTATGGCATAATTGAGTAGTTGTGACAGAACTTATGCTGCAAAGCCTAAAATATTTACTGTCTGGTCTTTTACAGAAAAGGTTCACAAACCCTTGTCTACCTGAAAATTTTCATATATGGTCAGGATTTATGATATGTGGAGCTTTTACCTTATTTTTATTTCAGAGATTAATATCTTCCCCTTTCCTTTCACAAAAATATAATGTGAACAAATATTTTCACATATATTTTTAAAACTGAAGCATGGCCCTAGCCAGTTTTGTTCAGTGGTTAGAGTGTCAGCCCACAGATGGAAAGGGTCCCGGTTCAGTTCTAGCCAAGGGCACATTTATCAGTTGCAGGCTCATTCCCTGTCCCCAGTCAGGGTGCATGTGGGATGCAGCCAATCGATGTGTTTATTTCACATAGCTCTCCCTCCCTGCCTCCCTCCCTCCCTCCCTGCCTTCCTCTTCTCT